AAATGAGCACATCCTTCCTAAAACGACTCCCCAGAGTGTAAATGTTTTGACTGCAGAAACTTCTATTTTTGTTATTTGTCGAGGGCCTGGTGGTATTCTGGTCATGCCGTTCGAAAACACAGTGTTTGTGTGTGCATCTGCAGCGTTACGCTCTGTTTGTCGATCCTACAGATGGAAATAGACAGAGGCTGCAGTTTCACAGGCGCAGGAAAAAAACTGATCCTAACAATCAGTGTGTTTACACGCACAGCTAAGTCAGGCCACGGCCGCAGCTGGATTGGGCCGTTTGATTAGACTGTGAGAAGAAGATCGGCCTGGTTCTGTATGAAGGAACGAGAGTTAACATTGGGAAGGAGGAGCCTCTGTGAGTGGCGAAGACAGGTAAACAACAACAGCAGTGACAGTGTTAACGTTGGTGCTGCCTGATGCTAAGCTAAATATTTTCTTGCATTTTAAGCCAATTAGAGTTCAGCCAAAGAGAGATGACAAACTCCGAGCCTACTGCACCTATATGAATTCTAATCAAATCAATTCTACTTTCACACAAAACTATTTCTTTTTTTAACATAAAAATATCTATTTGTGACTTGAAGAATGTTGTTCTAGATATGACTTTTACTCTCACCAGTCTCATGTCAGTCCAACACAATGGCCCTTTAGTGCTACGTATTTTCTCTAATGTCACGTGAACCCAGTGGCTGTGAGCAGTGGCGTCGTGAAACCTGCGGCCTCCAAAGTCTGCGCGTCCAGAAGTATTCAATATGTTTTAATGACAGGCTACTGTAAAAAACAAAGAGGAGAAAAAGAACGTGTCTCTCAGGGAAATCAAAGCTGTGACATCCCTGCAGTGACTCCAGACGCCACAGTTTAATGCCCCACTTTCACCACACATATTTGCTTTGTAGCTTTTTGTGATTCTCATGAATATTTGGGAGTGTGTTGAGGCGACAGCGGGTTCCCCTCTGTGTATGTTTGCATGTGAGCCAGAGCACTGTTGTGGTTATTGATGCATACTTCTTATGAGGCCCGGCATTATGAGCTGGGCAGAAGTTAAGAGGCTGGTGGTGTGTTTGTTGTGTGTGCGTGTGAGTGTGGGAGCGAGACACAGAGGAAAGACAAACGGCGAGAGACACGGGGAGGGGGATAAGGAAGTGAGAAACACTCGGAGTGGAGCTGAAGAGGAACAGAGGGGGCCAGAGAGGGACACGCACGCCAAAACATCACCACTGCATGTGTGTGTGATTACAAGGAAGAAAGGATGAAGTTTGTTTTGTTTTTTTTATGAGGAGTGGGAATAAAGGAGGACATTTGTGATGTGGAGACCGGGGTCAGCAGGGGCTCAGGGCAAAAGATCCTTGAAATAT